TCTGGCGGGAAATCCCCTCGGCATCGATCGTCTGTGGCTGGCGGAGAGACTGGGATTCTCGGGCGTCACAGCCAATAGCATGCACACCGTGGGAGATCGCGATTTCGTAGGTGAGTCTGGCGCAGAAACGCCCATTTAAGTCATTTCAAAGTCGTTGATAATGGATTTGTGTTCGATTGATTTCTTATCAGCCCACCGCTCCACTTTTGATTATTCAGGGGAGGCACTGATAAGTGGGGCTGGTATAATTGTTCAGATTACGCTTCTTGGTTTTGTCTTTTTTTCCACAAAACTATATTGTTTTATTTTACATTTTATTTTAAAAGCTGCACTGCGGCACTGTTAATGATAAATATTTATCAATTCTTTTTTGATTCCTAGCAGCAGTGCAACTATTTTGAACTTGCATTGATAAATTTGTAACAAGTTTTTATTGTAATATGAACAACGTACTTTCATGGATGTCGAATATTTAATTGGTTCGCACTTTAATTGGTTCACGATTATTTATTTAGTTGACTTCATCTACTGCTGCTCTATGGTGAGCCTCCATCTGTCCCGCTTGGCGGAGGACTTGATCATCTACAGCACCAAGGAGTTCGATTTCATCAAACTGGCCGATGGCTACTCCAGTGGTAGCAGCCTGATGCCCCAGAAAAGAAATCCCGACAGCTTGGAGCTGATTCGCGGCATGGCCGGAGTGATTACCTCCAATCTGACGGGCATAATGATGACCATTAAGGGCACTCCGTCCACCTACAACAAGGACCTGCAGTACGACAAGCAGTTCTGCTTCCAGTCCTTCGACAAGCTGTCCCAAGTGCTCGAGGTCACGTGTGGTGTCCTGCAGACGATGGAGGTGAAGCAGGAATCGATGGAGGTGGCACTCAGCACAGACATGCTGGCCACTGACTGGGTAAGCGTGGCTAAAGAAATAATGAACTAAAATGACACACCTTCCCATTATTCAGGCCTACTATCTGGTGAGGAAGGGGGTTCCATTCCGCCAGGCGCACCACATTATCGGTCGCGTGGTTTCCGAGGCCGAAAAGCGGGGTGTGGGCATCACCGATTTGCCGCTGGGAAAGCTGCAGACATTCTGTCCTCTATTCGGATCGGATATCGTTGCGGTGGCGGATTACTCCAACAATGTCCAACAATATAATGCGATTGGTGGAACCGCCAGTAGCAGCATCGTGGAACAACTGCGTTTGCTCAAGAAGAGCGCAAGGCTTTTGGCCAAACAGTCCTAGGACGAACATATACATTTTTGTAATCAAACTGAAACGGAAATTATATATATGTCAAAAAAAACCGGTGCATACCGAAATATAACATACAATAATTAAATACGAAGGAGGTACATTTTTGTCGCCAATTCTTCACTTCCTAGGGCAGATAATCGATATAGATATCGCATATAATATAGTATAGATATAGTATATTCTCCTACCTGCAATGAAATCAATATGCTCTCCGCAAGGGTATCAAAATAGTGTCATGTCCACTGTAAAATAATCCGTCTGCGAGTATACCTTTAGCAGGCAGTCTAGAACCACCGCGTTTATTTCGTTTCACTATATTTGTAGTTAACAAGTTAAGAAGTTACATTTACAAGGGGATCTCTTCGGGAATGCTATACGGTATAAATAGGGCTTCGATTGGTGTCGCCGCCTAGTTCACGCTGGGGCTCTGGGGCGTATAGGTGTAGGGTTCGTGGGGTTCGTGGGGGCCCTGCTCCCCGTTGCCCAGCTGCTGGTAGCCGGTGACAGCGGAGTTCTGGGGCGGACCCATCTTTCCGCCGGAGATGAGGACGCCGAGGCTCTGCTGCAGCTGCCAGCGACGGGCCTCGCGAATGGACTTGTTCCGCCGGAGCGTCTTGGCCAGCATGAAGGCGCAGAGGACGCCGAGGAGCTGGACAAAGGCCACCGTGGTGGCTCCAGTGGCAATCAGCATGGCGCTCTGCGACACGATGAAGTTCATCTTGCGCAGGCAGCCGTAGTCGAAGGTCTGCAGACAGGTCATCTCGGTGGCGCCGTTCACACTCTGGGGCAGGATGCCGCAGCAGGAGTTGGGCACCTCCACGTCGTCGGCTCCCAGAGTGGAGTTCTTGTTGGGGGAGTAGTGGTCCCTCCAGTCCTCCGGCTCATAAACTCCGCAGCACTCAAGCTGTGGTCAGGAAATTCGTGAAATTTCTTTTCGAGCATATGGCTTACTTCAAGGATTCTACATACCATAGATTGCATGAAGTCCACACCAGCCCGCACATTGGGATCGGGCTCGTACTCGACCAGGGCCTGGTTCATGGTGCGGATCAGCATGCCCCTCACCTGCGACTGCATCACAAAGGCGGCGATGGCGGCGGAAACCTCGAGGATGAACACCAGGAACAGGCACACTCCGTACTACACAGATATGTCATCGGATTAGCACAGCACCCATTTCAACTTAAAACTTCAACATAACTTAGCATGTATGGCTACATCTAAGATATGCTTTGAGGATATTCAGTTCAGTTAGTGCCCCTACCAGATTAATGACCATCACACTCTCCTTGACGGCTCCATAGGCGCCCAGGGTGGCCACTGCGATCAGAATGAATCCGATGGCAATGAGGAGTGCCGGTGGCGACGAGAAGTGACCATCGATGAAGAGGCTGAAGTCGCCGAAGACGGTCTGGATCGTAGTTCCCACCATAATCAGGAGGATGGCGGTCAGCTGGGGGGAAATGGGAAACACGGCATGGGTAAGAAATCGTCAGGAATCGCATGTCAAATCCAATTTGCGGTGAGATATTCAGTGTGACTGCAGTTGGGTGTTCATCTACTATTACGAGTATGTCCATTCTGGATGGCTTTTATTCTGCCAACACTCATTCTACTTATATTTTGCAGTAGGCCAAAATAAATCTGCTTTTAGTTATTAGTAATAAAAGTATCCAATACGTTGCACATATGGATGGGCACTGTTGGCTTTCTAAATCGCACAGCCACTCATTTTACACACTAACGTAATTATTGGCTTGTTTAGAAACATGTATGTTAATATTTGATTATTGTTGAGAACACATTTATCACCTCGCCGGAAATACATACGTATGTACATTGCTCCACCCACACTATAAAAAGTATTTTGGCCTGGCTATCTTATCAAAATGAGTAATGGTTAAACTGAGTTATCGCAGGGAATGGTGAAATACGAAATATATGTATTTGTAACCGAACTTTAAGATTTTCCTAGCACCAAAATGTATGGTTGTCAACAGCTGCTACGGCATAATCTCAATTGTTTTTGGTCTTGTTGGTGTTTGTTCTAAGAAAGCAAGCGAAAAACAGTTGGTAAGAGAAAATGCTTCTTGACCTGTTTCTCTTTCCCTCCGATTTCCAGCTTGCTCTCATTTATTTTCCTATCAGCGACTTACGTAGGCGCAAAACAAAAAAATAAAGTGCTACACCCACACTCGTTTACCTCGACGGATGATAAGACTGGGTGTGCTCTGTGTGATAAGAAAGGCAAACGCAGAAAATGGAAAATGAGTCAAGATGGCGGAGCAATGATTCACGGGTGGCCTTGGTGAAGGATCACGATCCAGGATGAAGGATCTACTCACCGCGAACATGAAGCTCACGATGACGAGCATGTACTTGGCGCACTTCATGCCCGAATTCAGCTGCAGTTCCCTATTCGCCATTTCGCTGGATTTTAGCTGCAATTTGTGAAGGTGTTAATCGCAGTCCAATTCCGATATAGTACAGTATAGTATAGTATATATAGTATAGTATAGTGTATTGCTCGCTTTAATTGGCCGCCGACCGACCGGCAGTGCACGTACTTTAACTTTTGCTAGTCTCACCTGAACTGAGTGGCAAAACGGTTAAGGCAATCGGCCAACTCAACCAGCCAGCCAGCCAGCCAGCCAGCCGTCTCTCTCCCACGCTCCAAACGGGGAAGTGCGACCTTGCCGCCCTCTCTCCCACTCGCTCTGACACTGCGAGAAATGCATAGCCCAAATACAAGTTTAGTATAATGCAAATATATGCTTTTGGTTTCCTTTTTTCCTCTTATACAGCTGAATGCAAGCAGTTGAGCATTAAAAAATATCATGAAGTAATGTATAAAAATATATAAATATATATATTAAATGCCATTTACTTTTACAGTGCACTCTCTGGAAAGCTTCCCAAGCGACCGTTATCAGTTTGTAATTGCTCATAGCCTTTCAGCTGGACAAATATATGATAAGATAACGATTTCCTCGTTTTCATTAGGCAAGTTTTCGCAATAAAACGGATTTTCTAATATCGACCCAATGGTCGATGGTACATACGGTGCATTGACATTAAGAATGTTAAACTTACCGAAAGTGGAAGGAATTCATCTACTTATAAGACTTCACTGCCCCTAAATCCCCATATACCCACATATGCTGGTCAAGTTCGCATGTCAATGCCAGTGGCTCAATCGAGTATATTATCGATTTAAGTTTTAAGTGAGTCAACTTCTATGGGCTATCGATTTTTTAATCGCGCTGCATTTCCAAATTGCTTAAAATATTTACAGGTAAACACAGGTGTGCTTGCTCATAAGTATTTTAGCTGTCTGTCTGGCTTCGGAGGGAAAAATATGATGTCTGTGTTGACATTTTTTACTATGTGCTATATAGATCTTTTTAAAATAAATTATTCTGAAACCCTATGTAACTATGAATATATAAGGCAAATTTGCACCTCAGCTTAAATATGATATATGCAAAATGTGTTAAAATTAAACAAGATTATTGGTGTTATATAACATAATATATTTGTATTAGCTACAGCTCAAAACGCATTTGATTTAAAAACGCAGTACTTCTATAATCTGTTAGTAGGTTAGGTACAAAAGTGATAGGGCAACATTTTTAGACCACAATAGCAATATGAACGATAAGATTGCATTGTGCAATAAAAATTGCAATAAAAAAATGTAAGAAAATAAGCCTTATTAAAAAGCGAACACCAAGGTTTATGTTTAGAAATAAATTTATTTATTTATACAAGCAGGGGTATATGTCTAAGAACATCATCGAACTCAGCAGTGTCTTAAAGTAAATATCGGCACTATCCTCATCCAGCTCGCGGTCCTACGGAGTCAACTCCTCAAGATCCGGACCTACATAAAGCCAGTGATGCCATTGCGGATTTTGATCTCACGTGCAATGTAGCAGGCAAAGATTACGCCAAAGAACTGGAAGGTAGGGAAACGTTGTTAAAACGGTTAGATGCATAGTCATTATTTCATAGAAGGTTGTCATTCACCTGGAGCACAGCAATGACCACGCCCGCCGCCCCCAGGCTGACCGCGTGGGCGGAAATGTAGGCGGAGAATCCGTCGAGGCATCCGTCCTTGTGTCGGTTGGGATCGACTTCCTCGGTGGCATTGCAGGTGAATGTGCCCACGGTGCCAACCGGAATGGTGCAGCAGGACATGGGCAGATCCTCGTTGGGGAAGGTAACCACCCAGTCCTTGTAGGTGGTCACGCCACAGCAGTCGAAATCCCCCTGGATGTCGTCCCAGAGTTTGGTGATCGCATTGTGATTGTCAGCGTTGTACTCGCTCAGCGAGCTAGTCAGCGAAGTTTTGATCAAATCGCTGGCATCGTTGCGCAGCACATAGCCACTGATGCCAGCAGCCAGCTCCAGGATGAAGATGATGGCCAGCATGACCGAGAAGCTGAGCACCAGGCAGTAGTTCTCCTTCAGGGCGCCCCAGCAGCCAAAGAAAGAGATCAAGATGATGAACGCTCCGATCACGATCAGGAACGTGGGTATCGAGAAGAACTTTCCGGCCAGGAAGAGCTTGTAGCCCGTGTAGACGGCGCCAACGCCGGCTCCAACGGCAATCAAGATAATGCCAGTGATCTGGATGGATGGTTGCAATGGTCAATATCAACGTCTTTGTTTACGGTCTATGAGCCATTCATCATTTGGATTTGTCATTGTTGATAAATTATACATTTTTCTAAGAAAAGCTAATTTTGTTGTCAAAAGAGATGAGACAATGCTTGCAAGATTTCCAAAAATAATAATTTATAAATTGTATCTTGAAAATTATCTTTCAAAAACTATCTATTTTATAAGAATAATTTAATTCCTTTTTTTTATTCTAGTGTTATAATTTTAGGAGAAAATGCCCTATAGGCAACCTGTAGTTAAAGACCAATAATCGTTAAGTCGGTATAATCTCAAGTGCCCTATGACTGGTGACTCATCCAAAAAAAGGCCAGATCATTTACTTACCAAAAAGATCAAGTTAAATCCGAAGAGCGTGTACTTCACGGCATTGGCGCTGCCCGTTAGAAGCGACATCTTGTTTGTTTTAGTTTATGCGCTGTAAAATATGTAGTATTAGCAATAAGGGTTTTTGGGTTTTTGTACGGGTCGAAAATAAAACGCAGCCGACGCAAATCGCTTCTGAACGTTAAATACACCGCTGTCGAAACTAAGACACCAATGAAGGTTTGACTCCTAATCAACAAAAATCAATATATATATATATATATACTAACTTATCAGTAAATGATATGGCCTATGGCAAAGCTTTTGTCTAAGCCAAATGTGGTCAACTGTTGTATTTTTAATGTGCTGATGTTGCGGAGACCGCCATTTCGGCCAAGATAAACGAACGTTTTGAGTGAGATAAGATACGATAATATTTGATAGAGAAAATTTGAAATTTGAAAAGAGAATATTTAACGGAAAAGCTAAATATAATATCCGTATTTATTGTTTGGTAAATGTCGCCGACTTGTGTCATAGTTCAATGACTCACTTTGGCAACGAAAGAACTGCAAGCACACTAAAATTTATGGATGACACACATATATAAAACTGGCTTGATTATAATCATATTTGCAGATAAGGCAGCCAAGTGTTAGGGATCACTGACTCATCCATATGCCTCAATATCATTAGCAACTTCAACTTCACACATTGTCAAACCTAATTAGGTGGGTTTTCGAAAGTTATGTGTGGAAACGCTGCCAATTAGCTATCCCAATGTTGCATTTGCTCGTATCGGTGGCCCAGTTGAAACATAACGCAGTGGCCCCTGAGTTTTGCGTTATCAGTTTGTTCTGCTTTTTCAATCTAACATACTCACGGCACCGAAAGTGAACAATTTAGTATAACCTGACGGCAGTTGGACAACAACTGAGAGGCTCTTCCATTCACCGAAACGCTCGCAGAGGATTATTATTGCGAGCACCCGTGAGCTTTGCTACCTATCGCGTTGTTGGTTTGCGCGAGTTCGGTGATAAAAGGTAAAATATAGTGGAATACCTTGGGGAAAAGCTGCGAAAAGCTTTTCCCGCAGTTAGCACGGGTCTGCGAAAACAGAACTTCCACGTTGTTTTTTTCGAATTGCATGGGCGTATTAACTTTATATATATTATATATCGTGTTATATATATATTTAGTCTTTTTGTTAAAGTATTGTCTGCGAAGCATATTGCCTGGCCAACATGGACTACGCGTCGTATACGCGATTTATCCCAATGCCAATAAGAATTAAGTAAACCTTCGTATTCAACTGAAAAATGTATTATATTTATTTTCATTCACTTTGCTTGTCGTACACTAAATGCTATCGAAGAATATATATGAGTATCATTTGTTATTCAATATGTTTAGTTTTTAGTTTAATTTTGTGGAGTTGCTGGCATAATTTTAATACTTGAATTTCGAGTGCAATGCCAAAGCGTGTGTTTTCTTCTTTTTTTTCAGTGTGCGTGGGAAATGCAATGAGGAAATGCGAACAGGAACTGGGAACTGGGAACTGGGAACTGGAACATTTTCGAAGTCATTTGCCAGATTAGTAAGTCAGTTAGTTTGGGTGCCGTCAACCGCGCGAGTAATTTGTTTGAAATTTATCGCATTGCCAGAAAATTTCGCAAATTACCAAAAGAAAGTCTCATTGGGTTGGTCGTTCAGGTGTTAGTGCGTATTGCAATTATTACAATTATGGATATAAATCCTCTAATTAGATGCTTTATTTTTAGTAGTTCGTTGCCTCCGCGCCAGAGTTCCCACATCCTATTTCCTATCCTTGCCGTGGCGATCCCGCGGATGCCTGCTACTCGCAATCGTCGAGGAGGCCAGGCTGTGGACATGGTGTGGCTGCTGCTCCCGATGACCATGTCCAGATCCCTGATGCTTGCCGCTGCTGCTGTGCTGGTGCTGATGGTGCTGATGGTGCTGGTGTCCATTCAGTGTGCTTTTACCGTGTCTGTGGAGGAGGAGAATAGCCTGTTAGATCTACGATGACTCCGCTGGCAGTGCATATAATTTTAATGATTTGTCTACTGTTGGGTTTCTTAGGATAGTGTTGCCAAATTGCTACTTCAACTACGTAGTTCCAGTTGCTAGAGAGAAATAGAATAGAGCAAGGCCGTTTGATGTTGTGTTTCGGTTTTTTAAATTCCAATTTCATTGATGATTCTGTTGATTTTTTTCTGCTTTCCAGCAACATGTTCATAGTCAGTTTTTAGAGTTCATTCTACTGATAGAGCGGAGTGTGCGTGGGGTTAGAAATTTAAGTGGTGAGTTCATTAATGCTAGTCAAACATGCAAGATCAATTGGGAAACGAGAACTAATTGGTTAAGTGATGTAATTGTTATATTTTTATAGTGCTACACTGGATAGTAGAGAATTATAGTTTAATGCCCAGTTCCAAACCACTTTCCGTACTTTCCGTACTTCCCGTACTTCCCGCCAAAGCCCAAAGCCCAACATGCAATACTGGTGGTTAGAAAAGTAAACGGAATTTGGAAAATCGCTTACGCTGTGAAAGGTAAAAACAGAACCCAGACAGGCCCTTTTTTCTTTTGTGCTTGTGTGCATTGGCCGAGTTTTTGATTGTGTGTGCGCTCCAAAATAAATAATAATCAAAATTAACAACGAAAGTCTCTCGCACTCGAATATTATTTTTGGGATTTAGTATTAGTATGGGGAACACAGTGGTTGGGTGGTTTTTGGTTTTTGGGTGGTGGTTAGGAAAATGCGGTCGCTTTTTGGCCGGAATATGTTGGCTGTGGCATATCAAACGTAATCGTGCATTTGAAATTATTTGGGTGTGTGACTTGTGTGGTTTTTGTGACGAGATCCTGTCAGCCAAGGATGTGTATTTAATTTATTTGGATTTTTGGTTTCTTGTGGGCTCAGGTCTGTCCCGCGCTGACTATGAACATGTGCAGATGCCGAATGGCTGGTGGGTGGACACACTGCTGCGCACCTGCCGCATTCTCAGCCTTTTCGGCCAGCCCCCCAACCGGCCACGCCCCTCCCGAGCCACCGCCCCTGCCGCCGAGGCACCAAAGAGCTGCGCGTGCTCATTGCTCAGATTGTTTTGGTAGGGACGCAGCTTGTCCGCTTTGCCCAGCTCCTCGCTGGTGGCATACAGCAGGTAGTTGTCATAGACATGGCTAACACTCGAGTTCCTCTTGGCCGGCAAGTAGGGCAGAAAGGCGAAGCTCGAGCTGGTCGATTGGGTGGCCTTCAGAGCGGGTTTCTTGGGCGCCACACTGCGACACCTGAGGGTGGACTGGTTCGAGTAGCTGGGCGGTATCATCTGCAGTTTGGTGCGATACTCGTAGCTGGCGGGCGGCTTCACTGGCACCGGGATTAGGGATCTCTTCCGCTTGCTGCGCGGCGGTGGCTGCGGTGGCTGCGGTGGCTGCGGTGGCTGCGGTGCTTTCGTCACCGGCTCTACCTCATCAATGCTCGCGTAGTCCGCCTCTGTAGCGGGCTCTTCGGCGCTTTCGGCACTACGCTGTTCCGGCGACTCCTCGCTGCTTTCGGTATGGGCTAAATTCGTTACGTATACGTACGTCAGTTCGTGGTGGTGCGTGGGTGGTGCTGTGGTGGTGCTGGCTGATGCAGATGCGGTTGCAGATGCAGATGCGGATGCAGTTGGCTTATGCACTGTGGTTTTCGATGCTTTCGAACTGGCTGTTGTGCTCGTGGTCGACTTTTTGTGTATCGTTGCCGAGTCGTGGCTACCGCGACTCGATCTCGTCTTACTTGGCCGACTGCTCTCCCGGGTTCCCGACGTCGGGTGCTCACTGTGCCTAGAGCGACTGGAGTGACCTGTAGTTGGGAAAATGCAGTATGGTTAGAGTCAGTTCTGGGAAAATTAAATGTGGCTTTAAAGGATTTTTCTATCATATTATATTTCAAGCATCTCAGAGGGCCTCAATAAAAACATGCTGTCATTATAGTCTTTGAGTAAGATTGTTTAAATAGTGCCTTTTTCAATTAATACAAATTACTTTATTTAGTTTAATGTTCAAAATAAGCAGTCTCAGTGTGGGCCTGGCTTAAAATTACATAGTGCTATGTGTGTATGACGGTGGTGTAAAAATAAATCATTAACAATTTAATCAGTTCTAGTTTTTAATAATCTGTTAAATGTAAAAAAAATGTGTTTGTTGCAGGTGCATAATATAATGACAAGCAAAATCGAAACAATCGATCATTGAGATCATTTGATGTATATTTGGTACAAGTGTGTTTTTAATTGTTAATTAATCTGATCGAAACCAAAACTCAACTGGCGAACCTAAAACGTTTGTTCAGCCTCTGCGGCTGTGTGGCACCCATAATGAGTAAGCCCAAAACAAGAAGTTCTGCAAAAGACAGGATCAGGTTAACCGGATTTGATCACTCGGTTGCATCCTCTCTAAAAACCTTGAAGATTTATCTAGATCTTACCCCTGGAGCGCGTGAGTTCGTCGCGGTGCTTCTCTGTGCCTCGAGAGCGTTCCCGATCGCGTTCCGATCGCGTTTCCCGATCCCGATGGCTGCTCTGCCGGGAGCGAGTTTCATCCGCCACCCGGGAGGATCTTATCAGCCGACTGGCAGATGAGTTCTTGGTCTCAGTGGACTGATCCATCTCCCGGCTGTGGCGACTGTGATGGGAGCTTCGCTTGGACTCCAGGGAAGATGTTCCCGCCCCGGTGGCACTGGAACTGCTCCTCGGCTTGCTGCTGTTCCGATGGACCCGAACTTCGATTGGCTCATGGCGCGACTTCTCTCTCTTCGGGGTACGCATGCGCAGACGCTCGGCTCGCTGCTTGGTGGCCACTTGGTCGTCGGAGGACCCGCCGCCGTGGGTCATGGACTCCCGCGAGCTGGAGCGGGACCGGTCACGTGGACAGCACTCGATGGAGGACTGCGATGAGCTGCGAGCCCGCGTCGGCGAGGGAGTCGACTGCCTGGAGTTGCGACGCGCCTCGGAGGCAAAGGTGCCGCGGGCCACGCCCATCGATTGCGGGTACACCTTCACCTTCTCGTCGATGGTCTCCAAGGGCTTGGCGCTGCGCCGCTGCAGGGAACAGGATCTGCGCCGCTGATCCTTGATGGCCGCCTCGTCGGAGAGAGCCTGCTTAAGAAACTAGGTTTAGACCAGCTTTATGTATATTTAGAAATGCTTATAATGGATGGGGCCGACTTGCCTTCAAAGTCTGATCAGCGTTACGGGTCATTTCGCTCAGGATCTGGGCGTCTCTCTGCAGGTCGGTCTTTCGCTCATAGCTGCCCGGCGATCGGGAGCGCTCCGGCGAGTGGGCCGGTGACTTCACCCTGAAGGTGGTGGTCAGTTCGGTGGCTATGTTCTCGTAGCAGTGCTCCTCCTCCTCATCCAGATCATCTTCGTCATCGTCATCGTCATCGTTGGCCGTGTCGTTATGCTGCGGACTACTGTGCCTCAGTAGGTCGGGTCGATCGTTGAGCAGTTGCCACTTGGTCGTGGTCGTGGTGTTTGCCTTCACCTCGTCATTGTGGCTCACTTTGCTGCGACTGGGCAGAGTCCTCCTGGGATTTGTCGTGGTCGTTGTGGAGAGCTTCGTTTGCTGTTGCTGCTGCTGCTTCTGCTGCTGCACTCCAAAGTAGGAGAGTTCGTGTTCCCGCAACTTGCGGGCACCGCGTGCCTCCTTCACAATCTTCAAGGACTCGCTGCCGGACTCATCGGCAGTGTCCACGGTGGACTGCGCTTGGACTTGCGGCTGAATGAAGAGGGTTCTTGGCTTGGCCACTGGTATCAGCTGGCCGATTCGTAGGGTGGGCGGAGTGGCCTTGGGTTTCTCGATTTGTGGAGCATGGAGCGCTATATTCATCACATTCGACTTGGGAAGATCTGGAAAGGTGAAGAAATAAGTAAGGAGCTTTACAATATGTAATCTGGATTGTTTAAGCTAAACGAGCTTAATGGGTATAGACATCTACTTCGCTAGTTCAATTACTCTGGCTCCTAGTT